ACCTATATGGGATTAATGAGAAGCTGTATAATTGATAATCTAAATTACCCTAATACCAATATTTGAATACTTTGAATAATAGAATACTTACTCTGAAATCTTTGATTTCTTTATTTTCTTCATCAAATCTCTGTTTATTCAACTGATGTTGTTGCTTGGCAACCAAATCAAGGAATTCTGTTTCTTCACTTTCAAGTCCTCGAATCATATTTTCTTTWAAAGAGATATCAAAAACTCATGTATTATTTTGTACCCAAGTGAACCAGACAGGGGCAGATCCAGGAATTTTAGAAGGGGAGTGAGTATTACAAAGGTCTTACCAGGAATTCGAGAAAAAGGGGGGTAACTGTTACTAACGATATGCTGAGACATTTGAGCAAAAGGGGGGTGACTAGTCACCCCTTGTACCACCCCTGGATCTGCCCCTGCTTGAACAAACACTTTTAAGTTGTATTTTGAAGTTGAGCACACACTAGAGTGTTTTGAAAATAATGTGATTGTATTATGAGTGGAGACATGACAAGAAAGATAGCTGTGTTGTGAAGACAAACAGTAAATCTCTCTTGTTTTATTTTGTCGTTTCAGGTCGAGTAGGTTTTATTTACTGATCTATAACTCCTTCGCTAGAGTTGAAGAATCTACCGTGTACTTGATTTTCATCATGTAAGAAAGTCAGGAAGTCCAAAACCCAGGTTTTTCAAATGATTGGCCTTTGAGTATGATATAGGAATAATATGTAAATAAAATCATACATACTTAATTTATGTGTTTCTTCCCATTCTTCTTGTTTCTTGTCTTTTTGTTCTTGAAGCTTTTCATATAATGAGCGAGTATCAACAACATCTTCCGGTCTCTCTATAGTACAACAAAAGCAATCCTGTGAAGCTAGTGCTATATCCTATCCGATTTAAGGGAAGTATGGGTGCGACCTGAGTTCGAGTCCCGCCGGGTTCAGTGTTGTATATGAGTATAGTTGTTTGTTGGTTCACTCCTGTGCTTTGAGGGTTTTCCAGGTTCTCCGGTTTTCCTCCCCCTGCAAAAATCAACTCCAAATTCCAATTCGATCATGGAATGAGGGCCACAGGTTTGTTAGCCACTGGCTATTAAGTGCTTCCCTCGTGAAAAAAGGACGTTTATTTTTTAGAGTGATTTTCATAAACCCGTGAAACAGATACCATTAGTTAGTGTGTTATAGTGAAATGACAACAAAAGAACACAATGGAATTAGGGTCTACTAATTCATATTAGGATAGTATGTATTTCATGGGTTTATGAACCACTCTATCTTCTTAAATTAAAGGGAAGCACCAATGCAGCTCACACTAGTTTTTAGCTAGTTATCTCTTCGTATAAATGTGAGTAGAGTTACTTGTTGGTTGACTCTCCTGTGCTGAGGGTTATGCAAAGGGTTATCAAGGGGAGGAGTGTCTATTGAATCATGACAAGAATGGCTGTCTGTCCGTCAAACCAAACCACAGGAAGACCAATCAAAMATTTACAGCAATTTTATGCTATGGACCAAAAAACCTTAAACATTTATAGCCTTGTTTAAGAAAACAAGTATATATAATTGTAAATGTAAATTAAGCTGCAAACAAGTATTAAAYAAAGACAAAATATGTTGTTTATATATATCCATGCTACTACATGTGCTCACTTACCAAGAGGGTCGTCAGGTTTTCTTACTTTTTCCCATTCTTCTTGTCTTTTYTTGCGAAATTCATCCACTTCGCTTTCACTTATAAACGACTTCATCCTTCCTTCAGACGTCATGTCGAAAGAAACGATTTTGTCGTCGAGAAAGACTAGAAAAACAAGGTTTTTTGCAGCAAATTTGCAGACAGACTTTTATCAAAATTGTTCTTTGAGTCACTATTACGCATGCTCGATCAACACACTGCTGACCATGAAATCGCTGGCACAAAATCCGATTATTTCAATAATTTTTAAGTTAAAGAAATTACTAAAAGCCTCCTCAACAAATAAGACAAAACCTTTACGACAATTATTAAACTTATTAGTCTATTTTTATTAATTTAAATCATTTATTTTTATTATCTTGATTATAGCTCGTCCCAGACCCCCAGGGTRATTCACCGTCACCAAAACAAACATGGCGGACAGAATTTTACTAAACGCTTGCAAAGGAAAACCAAAGTCATTGAGCCTCTGTAACAAGAATTTAGAAAGAGTTCCACCAATTATTGGCACTATTACGTCTTTAAGAACTGTTGACTTGAAAAATAATAAGATACAAAATTTACCTAAGGAATTTGCTGCATTAAACCAGGTAAGATACGAGAGGTTTTACCCTCTAAAAATGTCTAGTACGTCCAAAATGTATCGTTTTAAACGTCCTTTGTAAGGCTATTTATTAGCATTATTTACTCAAATGTCAAGAAATGTTTTAAAATATCATAAAAAATTGTTTTCTCAAATTATTTTGGCTGTAATTTTAGTTCCATCAAGTAAATTGTATTTTTTTATTTGATTTATTGTGTTGCTATGGACGCTTATATATATGTCTTTAATCTTTTTTGGCCTTTTTCTGTAGCTTGAAGCGTTGAATTTYGGAAATAACAGATTAGAAGAGCTTCCCGAAGTATTATCGTACCTTGAAAGTTTACAAAAACTTCATCTCTTTAAAAACTTGTTGAAAGATTTAAAGCCCAGTGTATTGAGTAAGTAGTAAGTAATAGCTGGAACTGCATACTTATTAGTGAGGTACTGGTATAAACGATACATTAAGTGATCCACAAGAGCACATACGTTTCCATGGCATTCCCAAGGCAAAGTGCCCTTGAAAACTTTGTGTTTTCTGACAATGTCATGAAAACACTTTGATTTACTTCCACCAAAACCCTCTATTTAATTTTGTTGTGACAGCAAAGTGCACAATTCCACATCTGTATTTGATAAAAACTTTTTGAATGTGGCTTTCAGAAATGCTATTTCCTGCATTCTCAGGATATTTTAGGCAAAAAAAGTATAAAACTAAAATGAATCCTGGAATAAAAGAGGGACCACAGCCCAATCAGCCTCCATAAGTTTGCCCCTAGTAAAGATTAATRTATGCATTTTTTCATTTCAGCTGGTTTACAAAAATTAACATTTTTGAATCTYAATGGMAATTATCTTACAACTTTACCACCTGAAATAAACAGGTAAATTTATTAGTTTTTGGAAAAAAAGAAATATTACTRCAAAATTGACCAGATATGTTRAAATGGCTGTATTGAAAGATAYATATTTTATWTATWTTTTCTTTTCTTTTCTCGTTAGACTTGTATCGCTACAGTTTCTCAGTATCAACAACAATCAGCTCTCTATCGTCCCTACAGAAGTGTGTCATTTAATAAACCTTACTGAGCTCCACATTGCTGACAATCAGATAACAGGGTATATGGAATTTGTGACCATGTGATGTGCGTTGCATGCAACAGCAGATTGCTCTGTGTGCACATAGCTCTATTTTTATCTTAACCTTTCAAGCTAAATCGTGGGGGGTACTCCCTATATTCGCTACATGGGTACTTGCCGCCAAACAGGGTATGGTTTTCAGCAATTCTACTCTGGAACAGGGTGTATGAAATCACGCTCGCTCTGGGACAGGGTATATGAAATCACGCGCTCTCCTCTCTGGAACAGGGTATCCAATTTTGCAATACTGAAACTGGGTATGATTTTCAGCGATCTTGCTCTTGAACAGGGTATGAATTCCATCACTCCTTCCTTCCTTCCTTCCTTCTTTTTTTCTTTCCTTCCTTTACTTATTCAGTTTTTTTCTTCCTTTGTTTGTTTATTTATTAGTCTCCCAGAAGACATTGCTTTCCTAAAAAACCTAACAAAATTATACGCACAGAAGAATTACATTGAAGAACTTCCAGAGGTGACTAGTATTCACTTATAGTTCATAGTCTTGTTGTCTTATTTAATTAATAGGCTGTTTACATGATGGTGTCATTTTACCACACAGGAAAAAAAAACAGATTACCAAAATGAATTCCCATCCAATTCCCAGAGAGAACGAAATTGAGAATGTGGCACTGATTCCCAATGTTAGTTTGTTGGGAATTTAGTTTTTCTATTGGGTATTAGAAGGAAATTCTGAACAATTCCCAAATTGGGAATCCGGTTTTTTTTCCTGTGCCACCTACCAAAATTCTTCYCAAATTTTCTTTCTTAACMAAATTTGTAATGCCTCATAAGAGTAAGACAAAAAGTGTACAAGGGATTCTGGTAGTTRTAGTTAATGATGCCATAATCCAAGTGTCATAACCAGCCCAATAATGGTTATYATTTTTCTATTGTTTGTAATTTCTGTGCTTGGGCTTCCTGTGTCTATCTAGGGTCTAACCAAATGCTCCAGACTTGAGACACTTGACATCTCAGCCAACAGRCTAAGAATATTTCCTGCTGAGGTAAGAACAACCTAATAATTATTTCCATCCTAAAACATAGGTATAGACCCCTTGCAGGACATCTGAACGCAGCTTAATTTGGAGGACATAACAGCTTTCCAGTTCTCTTGAGATTAAAATTCTTTTGTTGTCCTCAAAATTGAGCAAGCAGACTGTAGGCTGTGTACAACCACTCTAAGCCAGTTTTAAAAAATACTCATGGGGGGGGGGGGGGCTAATCCTTGGCTGTGACTGGCAAAAAATCTATAGCACAACACCAATCATTGTCTTGCACACCTATTTGCTTGAACCAACTTACCTGCTCCTTAATGCTAGTATTTTCTTGATTATTTATTGAACTTAATATGATTATATCACATGTATTTGAGTTTCAGCTTTCTCATCTTCCCCAGAAAGAATTGTACAATCCTTGCTTGGTACACCTTCCTGCTTGAGCCAACTTATCAACTCCTTTACTCTAGTTTCTTCTTTTAAATGAAATATTTTTTATTATGATCATTATGTATTGAACTTTGTATTTTAGCTTTCTCATCTCTCACTGAAAGAATTATACTGTGAAGAAAATAATCTTCTTAAACACATCCCAGTCCACTCRCAACAAGAAGATGAAGTACTGACTTTAAAGGTACAGGATATCGATAAAAGCAATTTCATAAATAGGGAGTTGGGCCACACATTAGTCTGGGGGGCCCTAGCACACTTCCACAGCATAAAATATTTAATTTTAGTATCCGCAACCAGGCCAGCAGGAACTAGTGCCTTCATCTGAAAAAATACAGGTTTTACAAAGCCTGAAAAAGCCCCATCCACCAGATAAATCCTTGGTTGTCTATCATCAATGCTGCATTTTGATTGGATGAGCTACTACTAGTTTATAAGTTATATCCTAATAGAATATTATTATTATTATCATTATTATTATTAT